TCCTCCCCACCCCCCGAACCCCAGGTGGCCCCTCACTGGGTGCCGCAGAACCAGAGCCCGGGCTTCGGGCATCCCGGCCCTCAGAGCTCCTGCCCGGGCATCCCGTCAGCTCATCTACCTAAGTAAAACCCTTCGCAGGAGGATGAGTTGTCATTCCTGGGCTGTTACTCCCGCTGTACAGCAGGCACATAAGAGTTCAGCCGAGGGCACCCGCGGAGTGCGGTCGAGAGCGGCACTTACTTCCGGCCTGATTTGCCATTGACTCGGAGCAGCCAAGGCTGGTCCTCGGGCCGGAACTCCTTGAGGACTATGCCGTACTTCTTCCTCCGTGCCTCCTCCCGGAGCCTGCGGTTGAACTCGCTGCCGGCGCCCGACTCAGGCATCTCCTCCTCTTGGTAAATCTTCTTGTTGCTCAGGTCGCGTTCCAGCCGGGCCTGGGAGGACAGGAAGCAACACCTCTCATCCGGGGGCCTGATCCCACCACCAACACCCTTTCCTCCCCCGAAGCTGCGCGGCGGGCACTCAAAGCCACCTGGTTGGCGAAAAGGTGCTCGGTGAAATGTGGGTGAAGGGATCTGGGCAAGCCCTGTATTATGTCAATTTTTGCAGCTTTTTGAAAGTTGGAAATTATTTCCCAGTGAAAAGTTAGAAAGAAAGGAAGGAGGGAAGAAAGAAAGAAAAAGATTGGCACTGACATATATACACTAATATGTAAAAAACAGATAACTAATAAGAACCTGCTGTATAAAAAATAAATAAGTAAATAAAATTCAAAAAAAAAGAAAGAGAAAAGAAAAAGAAAGAAACCCCAGAACCCAGCCACTTCTCATAACCTGTTTGCTCCAAACCCCATCACGGCTCACCTGGACCAGAGCCTTCACCTCCGCCCTGTCCCCTTCACCTGCCCTCGACCCCACATTGGCAAAATCACTTTACAATTCTCTGTTTCTAAGCCTTTAGTGGCTTCTGCTATGGATGGATGTTTGTGTCCCCCCAAAATGCCTTTGCTTTTTTTTGCTGCGCAGCTTGTGGGATCTTAGTTCCCCAACCAGGGATTGAACCCCGGCCCTCGGCAGTGAAAGCGTGGAGTCCTAACCACTGGACCACCAGGGAATTCCCCCAAAATGCATTTGTTGAAGCCTAATCTCCAGTGTGATGGTATCTGGGGTGGGGCCTTTGGCAGACGATTAGGTTATGAGGGTGGAGCCTTATGAGTGGGATGTGCGCCCTTATAAAGGATTCCAGAGAGCTCCGTCCCCCTTCTCCCAGGTGAGGACACAGTGAAAATGTACCAGCTATGAAACAGGAAGCACACCCTCACCAGACACCAAATCTTGTTGGCACCTTGATCTTGGACTTCCAACCTCTGGAACTGTGATAAATAAGTGTCTGTTGTTTATAAACCACCCAGTCTCTGGTATGCTGCTATAGCAGCCTCTACAAACTAAGACAATTTCCAAAGACCTTTCTACAGGGGACGCGGGCTTGTGCCCTGGTCCGGGAAGATCCCACGTGCCGCGGAGCAGCTAGGCCCGTGAGCCGTGGCCGCTGGGCCTGCGCGTCCGGAGCCTGTGCTCCGCGACGGGAGAGGCCACGACAGTGAGAGGCCCACATACTGCAAAAAAAAAAAAAAAAATGCCCATCAGTGGACACAACTTCTCCTTTCAGGAGAAACCTCCTGCAGGGCCAGACATATCTCACCCCCAGGGATGCCCAGCAGCTCAGCCTGGGCCTTAGTCATCACTTATCTCCACCCAGGGACAGCTGAGGATACTAAGCCTTAGTTACTATCACAACTAAGCAACTATTACAACCACCAAGGCCAGGATCAGGTTCTCTCACGCCCTCAGAAACGGGACTTACCTGATTCCAAGTAGCGAGGTTGACTTTATCGGCTGCATTGAAAGCCATGATATTATATTTTTTGGTGGTATTTCTGGAATGGACAAGAAAAGGCAGTGCTCAATCATTCATTCATTCAGTAAACCCTCCCTGGCTCAGCCCTTTGTGCCTGTGCTCATGCTGGGGACCCATAAAAGAACCCAGGGGGACCCATAAAAGAATCCAGAGGTTCCCAGTCTGTCAGGGAAGTGGGATCCATACTCCCAAGCCCATTCAGAGAAAAGGGACAAAGATTTCTAGGAACCCAAGATGTGGCGATAATTGGGAGCTCAGCCCTGGGCCGGGGGGTGGGCAGGCAGGGAATGCCTCCTGAAGGAGGAAAATCCCATAAGTGAATTTTGCAGGATCAACAAGAATCCACCCAGCAGAGTCACAGTTGGCATTCCTGCCAGAGGGAATGCTAGGCAGGGGGCTGCGTCTTACTGTATATTAATGTACTCGTTCATTCATTCACTCCATTCAAAAAAGTGATGCCCCAGAGGCCTCAGCTCAACCCCAGCCCTGGAAGGAGAATCAGGAGGTGCCAGGCACGTCTGGAGGCTCGTGAAGATTTTAATCCCTTTTTGAGGGAAGAGGGGGAGGTGAGGGTCAGGGACTTACTTGGGAACTCGGACGACATACTCAGTGACATTCTGGCTGCTGGGGCCCTGAGGGGAGAGAAAGCAGGACAGTGAGTGAGGGGCTACAGAACCCACCACCTGGACCCCCCGAACCGCCTCGCCGCACACTTACGAGGGCCGCCATGGGCGATGGGCGATGGTCGGGGACCGGTCCGAACCTCGTCCTTTTCGCCTTCCCCGGGGTCCGCGTCCCTCGGTCCCGCGGAAGCCACCCTCAAGGTGTCGGGCCTCTGGCTCCAATAGAGGACACCAAGCCCGGGGTACAGCAGATCTGGGAAAATCAATCCGGAGGCGGCACTGGGTCAGCGGTCAACCTCGGAGGCCTCTAGTGCCACACCTGCGCCTGCGCGGCCGCCTATACCGGAAGCGAAGCTCTCTAGCAGGCCGAGTCGCGGAAGCCGACTCTGAGCTAAAGACAACTCTTTCTACACCTGGAGCGCTGGCTGACCGCAATATATAGCGCCGATAACCCCCATCACGCCGCGTGGGAACGCCCCCCCACGTGACGTCCCACTTACCACCGCGGGCATCTTGGGAGGGGAGGGAGAAACTCGCCCAACTCTTGGGCTCTTGGACGCCTTTGCGCACGCGCTACTCCGCTCCGGAAGTGAGTCAGAGGAGGCTGCGTTACCACAGCAACCGAGGCCTTCTTCGCACGCAACTGCTGCGGCACTACCTGAGCCACTTTCGGGTTCATTTCTTACCCCTAACCCCGGGGGTAACCCTATCGTCTCGCCAAATGATCGGGCCAGGGGCCCTTGGGACGTTGAACCGAGCCAGGAGGGGTCAGGGCCTAGGTGGGGATGGGGCGCGATCACCCCATGGGCTGCTGGCAGGATGGGTCTGTGCAAGTCCAAGCTGCCCCAAATGGGCAGGCCCCTGAGGCCCCAGGAGAAGGGTAATATCGCGGGGGTGGCTGGCTTACTGGGGGGAAGGGAAGGAGACTGTGTAGGGCAGGAAAGTACAGGTACCCCACCCCACCAAGTCCACCCCCCCACGCCCCTCCTCCCCCACCGTGGTAGTCACAGAACTGCGCATGCTCAGGGTCATCATTCAGCGATCCACTTTAGCGGTTGCTGTACAGGGTTCTGGGCAGTCCACGGTGAATGTGGCAAACCAGCTCCCTGTCCTCTTGGAGATTACAGTGTAGTGGACACAGTCTCCGAAAATGCTATCTACAACCCAGGAGGAACAGGGCTGCCACAGGGAAAGAGCAGGTGGCCCTGAGGGCTCAGGGAAGAGGGAAGGTTTAAACTAGGAGTTGGCTAAGAAAAAGGGGAGGGAAGCAAGACAACAAAACTGCATCATAGACTACAGCACTCCATAGATGTGTCTGATAGTTACGGACATTCATCTATTCCTCATCCACTACGATGTGTCAGAAACCATGCCAACTACTAGAAATATAGGGACGAGAAAGACAGACCCTGTCCTCGTGCAGTACAGAGTCTGGCTGGGGAGACAAACAAGAACAAGTAAACAGGCAGAGTCATTACTGATTGTGGCCATTGCTGGAGGGAATGGGATTCTAAGACTGGGAATGGGGGACTTCCCTGGTGGCGCAGTGGTTAAGAATCTGCCTGCCAATGCAAGGAACACAGGTTCGTGCCCTGGTCCGGGAAGATCCCACATGCCGTGGAGCAACTAAGCCCGTGTGCCACAGCTACTGAGCCTGTGCTCTGGAGCCCGCGAGCCACAACTACTGAGCCCGCGTTCCTAGAGCCCATGCTCCACAACAAAGAGTAGCCACCACAACGAGAAGCCCGCGCACCGCAACAAAGAGTAGCCACCCCTCTCTGCAACTAGAGAAAGCCTGCGCACAGCAACAAAGACCCAGCGTAGCCAAAAATAAATTTATTAAAAAAAAAAAAAAAAGACTGGGAATGATGGAGTGGGAAGCTCTTTGGGCAGAGCTTAGAGAAGACCTGATGGGTGAGCTGTGTCCTGAAGGGAACTAGGGTAGGGAATTCCAGGGGTGGGGAGCGGTGGGGGGTGGGTATGACAGAAACGGGGTGATGAGTTCAAGGGACAGCCAATTCCACTGGGCTGGAATGCAGTAAAAGTAGACGGGAAACGGGTGAGACGGGAGGGATGGACAAGTCCCTGCCCCTCTCTGAGCCTCAGTTTCCTCAGCTGTAAAATGGGATGATGGGGCCGTTGTGACGCTTCAAGGATATGCTGCGTGCAAAGGGCCTGGCCTGCTTGGGTTCCCATCCTCATCCACACAACCCGCAGCAGCACTAATGTGTGCCATGCCTGGATATACCACTGGGTGTGGACCCACACCCCCAGATGCCACCCTAGGGCAGAAGTAATTCTGCTAGCAGACCTGTGTCCGGTGTCACCAAGTACACACACTGAGCTATGGACACAGTCACCGTGGTGCCCACTCGCTGGCCCCTACAGGCACCAACCCCTGTCCCTCCTTCCTGCCTGGGCACTGCAGACATCCTCAAGTCCTCCCTGATCATCTTCGTGATGGGCGGCCCAGGCTGCGGCAAAGAGACACAGTGCAAGAACATGGCGACCAAGTACGGCTTCTGCCACGTGGGGCTGGGCCAGCTGCTGTGGCAGAAGGCCCAACAAGGCACCCGGCGGGGCCAGAAGATCCATGACGTCATGCTGCAGGGGCTCCTGGTGCCCACAGTGAGAGGTCCCAGGTGCGGGGGCAGAGGGATGAAGGGCATACATTCAGGACGAGCTTCCCAGAAAGGCCCTGTGGGAGCCAAGGGGCCTCAAAGTCTGGGGCCACTGGCTGCTGCTTTGCTGCCCTGAGCCTCTGTGTCCTCAACTGTAAAATGGGAGAGCAGCTGGACCCCCAGCAGAAGGCTGGGATGAGGGTCAGGTGATGTCATTCCTATAAAGCACTTGGCAGAGTTCCTGGTCCTTAAGAAATGCTCAGTAAACTTAGCTAGTATTTATTCCCTTTGTGACCCCGGGCCTGTATGTCAGTGGCCCCTTCTGCCCCCGATTCCTCACTGTAAGATGGAGATCACCCCAGTTCCTCATGACAGTGATGAGCAAACGAGCCCAGCAAGCCTGGCATGTGGCAGACACCCGCCCAGAGGACCGTGGCCAAGCCCCGTTCTCAGAAGTGCTTCCAGGGCTTCCCTGGTGGCACAGTGGTTAAGAATCCATCTGCCAATGCACGGGACACGGGTTCAAGCCCTGGTCCGGGAAGATCCCACATGCTGCAGAGCAGCTAAGCCCGTGTGCCACAACTACTGAGCCTGTGCTCAAGGGCCAGCGAGCCACAACTACTGAAGCCCGCACGCCTAGAGCCCGTGCTCCGCAACAAGAGAAGCCACCGCAATGAGAAGCCCGCGCACCACAACGAAGAGTAGCCCCCGCTCACCGCAACTAGAGAAAGCCCGCGCGCAGCAACGAAGACCCAGCACAGCCAAAAATAAATAAAATTTTTTAAAAGTGCTTCCAGAGACCCCAGCAGTGGGTGTTCCCCCAAATACACCAGAACTTGCCAAGGTGACCTTGCAGGTGAGGGGCCCTGGGCCCCGAATGCAGCCTCCCCTTCCCTCCCCAGGGTGTCATGTCCTTGATATGATCAGTGACCACATGCTGTCCTGCCCGGACAGCCGGGGCTTCCTCATTGACGGCTTCCCCCGGGAGCTGAGGCAAGCCAAGGAGTTTGAGCACATTGTGAGTGACCCCAACACCTGCGAGGGTGCGAAGCCGGGTCTCCTCCCCACCTTGGATGGAGATCTGAAGGGGCAAGACCCCGGGGGAGAGGAGTTGTTGACAGGGAAATTGTGTTTTGCCTTATCTAGGGGACAGTGAGGAGATTGTTGGAAGCATCTAGAACCCGGGTGAAGAGCTGGTGAGCTCTCCGAGGGTGGGGACAAAGTCATTTTGTTTTGTTTGGGTTTGGTGTTTTTGGCTGCACCGCGCAGCATGCGGGATCTTAGTTCCCCAACCAGGGATCGAACTTGTGCCCCCTGCAGTGGAAGCGCAGAGTCCTAACCACTGGACCGCCGGGGAAGTCGTGGACAAAGTCATTTTAACATCTCCCCGCACAGTCCCTGGCGCCCGGTAAACAAACTATTTGCCCACTGAGTGGCAGGTGGATTTAGCATCATTTCTGGGCCGTAAAGATGGAATGTAACTCTCCGTTCATCTATTTATTTAACCTCCTGTGCCTGAAATAGTTCTTGAGGACAAGCTAAGTCCTCTGGACTTCACCAGACACATGGGGTCCCTGCTGTTAGGATGCAGCAGACAGGGACCAGCAACACGTTCCGTACAAAACACATTTCTGGTAGCGGTAAGTGCAGTGAAGAACAGGACACAGAATGGCATCTGGAGAGGTGCGAGTGGGCTACTTCAGTTTGGGGGGTCCAGGGGGGACCCCTGTGCAGAGCTGAGCGGTGGAGCCAGCCAGACGCGCAAGACCAACATCATGAAAAGTCATCCATCCGGACACCTGAGTAGGAAGAGAGAAACTGCGGCAGGCTGGGGGCCTCTGGGCTTTCCTGGGACTTGCTGGACGCCAGTAGAAACACATTCAGGCACGAGGGAGGGAATCAGACAAAGGTCGTGGCGTAGCGGGGCGCCGACAGGGGCTGGGAGGGGCCGTCGGTGGGGCCCCGCCCTCTGTGCGCACCTCCACTAAAGCAATTCTGTCGGGCTCCCTGGGATGAAGGTAAACGGCAAATACTGGGCTCCCTCTCCTGGTCTGGGAGCCTAGCGGGCAAAGGCCAGGCTAATGACTGGCTCAGCGCCAGGCCAGCGCCTGGCCTAAAGTAGGCACCCAGTCACCCATGCCAGCTGGATGGGCTCCCCAAGTGGCTGCAAAGCATCAGGGCAGAGGCTACAAACTCCTGGCCCTCGGGCCCCATGGAATCCACCGATATGTTCAGTTTGGACTCTTCGGTGTTTGACACTTTTTTTGTTTTAAATTAGTGGCCAACCTTCAAAAATCCAGAGATGCCACATCAAAACTCCCAGCTTCTGTTGAAAAACATCTGACTTGGCAACACAGGGGCCTGCACATCCCCATGGCAACAGCAGTGTGAACTCCTCCAGAGCTTTTTACCAGCCCGGAGCTGGTCTCGACCCTCTGCACAGATGAACTCTGATCTTCCGGAACGTTCCAGGCGCCCGCACAGTCAGCACCCTGCTTTTTTCACTGAGGGATCCGGGAGCTTGCCCGGGTCACACCATTTAGGTGGCCAAGCCAGGATAGAGGCCACGATTTTCACCATGTGGACGGGATGTGCCCTCTGTGCCCCCCGCCATCCCCCCTATACCCACCCTCTCCCTCTCCTTCACAGAGGCCCATTTAGGGTCCTGCTTGCATGGTGGCTTCACACTAAGAGGAACAGGAGACATGCTTTTCTTTGGTAACTGTGTGGCTCTCAGAAGTGACAAAATGAAGATAAATGGGGCTCTGGCTTAAAAGAGTGTTTTTTGGTTTTTTTGGCCACTCTGTGCAGCTTATGGGATCTTAGTTCCCCAACCAGGGATCGAACCCGGGCCCTCAGCAGTGAAAGCGCAGTCTTAACCACTGGACCTCCAGGGAAGTCCCACATGATCATGGTTTGGCCACACTTACTTTACCGGTGCCAAACGTCAAGACCGCCGATTATGTGTTCTGAAGCCCATCCCGAATCCCATTATGAGCGTTTCCTCACCCAAGAGCATCTCACATGATTAATGTGAATCCCTTGAGACTACCCGATGCCCCCATCCACATCTGCATTGCCCCCACAGCTGAAAACTGTCTCTTTGATTCCCAGCTGGTCAGATTTATGAGTAAAACGAGGTCCTCACCGGGCGTCTCCTAATCCAAGGCGGACAGTCCTCCCTCCCTGCTTCCCTCCTGCCCTTGACTCGTTGAAGACTCTGGGTCATTTGTCTTGCACAAACTCTCATCCTTGGGATTGTCCCGTGTGCATTATTTGTCTCCTTCCATTCCTCATTGGCCCTGTACACTGAACGTTAACTACAGGCGTTCTTACAATAGATTCAGGTTCCATCCATTTTGTGCTTTTTTTTTTTATACAGCAGGTTCTTATTAGTTATCTATTTTATACATATTAGTGTATATACGTCAATCCCATCTGCTTTTCTTTTTAATCCATGAATATTCTAGTATATATTTCCTAAAACATAAAGACTTTTGTAAAATTGTATCACGCTTCTGTTATTACACCTTAATATCCTTCGTGTCATCAAATAACCAATCATTATGCAAATTCCCGTGAACACCTCAAAATCTTTTTCTTTTCGCATCTTGTTTTAATCGGGATTTAAGTAAGGTTGGCCCACTGCGATTGGTTGCTTTGTCTCTGTCCTTTTCATCTACAGGCAGACCTCAGTTTGATGCTCTTTGCTTTATTACATTTTTTCACAGATCGAAGGTCTGTGGCAACCCTGCGTTGGGCAAGTCTATCGGCACCATTTTCACAACAACTTTTGCTCAGTTCGTATCTCTGTGTAACATTTTGGTAATTCTCGCAATATTTCAAACTTTTTCATTATATTTGTTATGATGAGCTGTGAACAGTGATCTTTGATGTTACTATTGTAGTAATTGCTTTGGGGTGCCGTGAACTGCACCCATATAAGACGGCGAACTTAATCAATGAACGTTGTGTGTGTTCTGACTGCTCCACTGACCAGCCGTTCCCCCATCTCTCTTCTCCTCTGGCCTCCCTATTCCCTGACTCACAACAGTATTGAAATCAGATCGGTTAGTAACCTTACAACGGCCTCCAAGTGTTCAAGTGAAGGGAAGAGTTGTATGTCCTTTACTTTAAATCAAAAGCTAGAAATGATGAAGCTTAGTGAGGAAGGCATGTCAAAGGCTGAGATAAGCTGAAAGCTGGGCCTCTCGTGCCAAACAGTTAGCCAAGTTGTGAATGCAAAGGACAAGTCCTTGAAGGAGGTTAAGAATGCTACTCCAGTGAATACGTGAATGATACGAAGGTGAAACAGCCTCATTGCTAATACGGAGGAAGTTTTCGTGGTCTGGATAGAAGATCAAACCAGCCAGAACATTCCGTTAAGTCAAAGCCTCATCCAGCGCAAGGCCCTAACTCTCTTCAGTCCTTTGAAGGCTGAGAGAGGTGAGGAAGCTGCAGAAGAAAAGTGTGAGGCCAGCCGAGCTGTGTTCATGAGGTTTAAGGAAAGAAGCCGTTTCCATGACATCAAAGTGCAAGGGGAAGCAGCAAGTGCTGGTGTAGAAGCTGCAGCAAGTTCTCCAGAAGATCTAGTTAAGATCATTCAGGAAGGTGGCTACACTAAACAGACTGTCAATGTAGATGAAACAGCCTTCTATTTTTTTTTTTTTTTTGGCCACGCCGCGCGGCATGCGGAACCTTAGTTCCCTGACCGGGAATGGAACCCGTGCCCACTGTTCCGCACTCCCACTGAAGCGCGGAGTCCTAACCACTGTACTGCCAGTGAATTCCCGTCAGCCTTCTATGACTGGAAGAAGATGTCATCTAGGACTTTCATAGCTAGACAGGAGAAGTCAATGCCTGGCTTCCAAGCTTCAAAGGTCAGGCTGGCTCTCTTGTTAGGGATGTCAGCTAACAAGATGCAGCTGGTGACTTTCAGTTGAAGCCAATGCGCACTTACCATTCCCCAAATCCTAAGGGCCTTCAGAATTATGCCCAGTCTACTCT